CAGGAATTTGGAGTGTGAATAGTAATTTGTTTCCTCTTTAAAGTGCCTCTTTTATGCTGGGTGAGTTAGAGGTGTCAGATGTTTGTTATTTCCTCATCCTACTATTTCTTAGCTGCAAATATAATTTCTATTATGTATTAAAATCAATTTATAATAAAACAAATATGGGAGTGGCTTGCCTGTCCTGAGTGTGCCATTTTATAGGAAAAATCCTACACCCTACGAAATCACTTTCCATTATGCCAAAAAAAAATCATGGCATCCATGATTTGTGTTTCCAGTAATAGGTCATCCATTATCAAGTATGTTTTAATCATGGCCATTACCGTACATCTAGACTTTTCCAGTTAGAAGTCATGATCTGTATTGAGACAGCTAGTTTAATCTGTAACACTGTGGGTACTTATAACTCTATTTTCTAAGAGTTCAGATAATGAAAATGGTTATGGTGCTAATCCCAGAATGCCCCAGATATTATTGATACAGAAGGTTATTATTTCATATGGAAACACACACACACATATGTAATATTAGCATAGTATTATATACAGATAATCTAAAGAGTGTATACTGTAAAAGGATTTGGGGTTGGGCATTGTATGGGTCAAATTGTGCTCCTTCCAAAATTCATATTTGGAGGTGCTAACTTCCAGACCTCAGAATGTGACCTTACCTGGAAATGGAGTTGTTGCAGCAGTAGTTAGTTGCGATCGTACTGGAGGAGACTGGGCCCCTCATCCATTATAACTGGTATACTTAACAGAAAGGGCCAATTTGGACACAGACCTGCACATAGGGTGAAAACTATGCAAAGATTGGTATGAGGCTTCCAAAAGCCAAGGAGCTGTAGGAGCTAGCATAGAGCCCTGTGACACATCCTTTCCAAGAGTCTTTCGAGGGGGCATGGCCCTGTGGACACCTTGATTTTGGGTTTCCAGCCTCCAGCACTATGAGACAATAGTTTTCTGTTGTTTACACCAAGCAGTGACCACTGCCCTAGGAAACTAATGCAGGCGTGGTGGAGCACCTAGTGGGTCTGAGTCTTGCAGATGAGGGTGAGGCAGGCAAGCACATCAAAATTCATCTGTACTTTTTGAAAACAGTGAGCATTGCTTTAGCTGGGACATACCATAGGAAAATGTACACTGTCCCCTTGATTGCTCTATGAAGCTGAATGAAGTTGCATTTCCTGATTCAGGGATTGCAACTACAATATACTGTAGCTGAAAAAAAGGGAACATTATGTTATGATATGTTGGCCTCTTAGAAAATAGCGGATTCCGTCAGATCTTACCAGTGACCAGACTTTTTACAGTGTATCATGTGATATGTCAAATCACAGTAACAACAATGTTTTCCTCGTTTTTTTTTTCATACTTTGGTTTAAAAAATGGAGTTTCAACAGAATTTTGATCTCTATAAAGATTTTAAGGAAACCACAAAAAAACTTGTTGTTCCAGTACAAATTAGATTTTGTTAATCTATCTGCATATTTGGCAGACAGTGTAAATGTAAATTTGGCAAACTCCATTCAGTCTGTAAACTTCTTACCAAAGAGAATAAAAATACATTACCTTGCATACCTTATACCCAATATTGCTAAAAAAGGAATGTAATGTACTTGCTTCTCATAGATACTGGGGCTTTCATAATGAAAGTTGTTGATTACTTTTCAGTTACCCTAAACACCTACAGAAACACTTAATGAGATTTCTTAACTTTATGGAAATTGAGGAAGTGACCTACTGAGATATGTGTCCACAGGATAGCTGTCATTTATTGCTAGCCATGGAAAGATGTTAAATGTTGTTGTCCTAGGCCGGCGCTGTGGCTCACTAGGCTATTCCTCCGCCTGCGGCGCCAGCACTCCGGGTTCTAGTCCCAGTTGGGGCACCTGTTCTGTCCTGGTTGCTCCTCTTCCAGTCCAGCTCTCTGCTGTAGCCCGGGAAGGCAGTGGAGGATGGCCCAAGTGCTTGGGCCCTGCACCCGTGTGAGAGACCAGGAGGAAGCACCTGGCTCCTGGCTTTGGATCAGCGCAGCGCGCCAGCTGTAGCGGCCATTTGGGAGATGAACCAATGGAAGGAAGACATTTCTCTCTCTGTCTCTCTCTCTCACTGTCTAACTGCCTGTCAAAAAAAAAAAAAAAAAAAAGACAGGGGACTGAGACCCAGATCCTGTCCTCAGCACTGGCCCGGGGTCAGGGCCCCTTTAAAAAAAAATGTTGTTGTGCTATAAAATGGTGTTTTCAGAGTGTGGAACATAAAGAATTTCCTTATTTAATTTGGAAATAAGTTGATGAAGAGAACACAGAAAAGTATTACAGCAAAGCAAGTATCTATGTCCTATTTATTCAAAACTGTCTGATAATCTTTGAGGAGTATAGCAAACAGTGAGCTGTCTGTACCTGAGTTGTTTGCTGTGTGTCTGTTGTGACAAAAATTCATCCAATGAAAACAGTTACTCATTTTTGGAAAATAAGATGGCTTCAGAACTAACCAGAGAAAGGTAGCCACAGTAAATAGGACTTTTTTGGAATCTATCCAGTTTGGTTTGGAGAGTATAAAAACTATGGGAATTGTAGGCATGAATAGCCACCTTTATGATCAGTTTATATATCCAAATAACCTTTTAACGGATCTAACCAACAAGCCTGTAGATAGAAAGTTCATAGACATTACTGGAGAGCTGGAAACTTCGTATGATTCTAAAAGCCTTCTGTTGCTAGAAGTAAAATCTTAAATATTATATGCCCAAGCTTCTTTGTTGGAGGAGTGTTTTGCTTGAGGTCATTATATTGGACTCACACCAGGATTCAGTGTAATGTGGGATTAAGAGCTGAGCTGCATGCCAAAGTAAATTATGTGTTTGACCATAGTCACTTTGCCACTATATTAGAAGAAAGATGTTCTAAAAGCTGCAGGCAGTTTAGAGAAGTATTACTGGAAAAAGAAATAGAGTAAAAATATCCTGCTGTATTACTTGGTAGAAATGTCATTTTAAAAATAAAATATAGAAAAAAATGAAATATAGGCAATAACCTTACTTAGTCCTGTTATATTCTCTTTTAAAAGATGTATCCCATTTATTATCTTAAAAACGTGCAATAATATAGCCTACCTAATTTAAATACTTGACAGGAAAATAAAAGAGCAAAAACATAAAAACAATTATCTATTGTACAACTCTTATTCATTTGATAAGTCTCAATTTCTACTAATTGCCACTGTTAACAAGCTCTATTATTTTGTTTAAATAAAAGGATTTACTGTAGAAGAACAGTAAATTGTACAGAATGACATAATTTCAATAAATGACTATTCACATTCCTGTGTTGAAGTAGTAGAATCTGGTGCATGCATTTCTCATACACTGTTGCTTGGGATCGGCCTGGCTGTATAAGGTGCTGGCAGCCCTCCTGTGCACACCGTACTCACTGTGCTTGCTGCTTTTGTCTTTTAGGCCATCACTTCCCCCCTTCTTCCTCATCACGCGTTCTAGTATCACTAAGGACAATGAATTTGAGATTTACGAAGTTTTAGGTTGGCCTTGGAAAAGCTGATTTTTATAATCCAGTTCTGAATTCTAAATCCGTGAAATAATTTACATGAATAAGTCTGAAAATCATATTATTCTCACTTGAAAGGCAGCATGGTACATAACCAGAAGAAAAATAGTTTCTGAAGTTTGGCGTATATCTAATGTATCAGGGATGAGTATGTGCTTTTCTTTGGCATGTTGTCTTAATTCTGATATAATTTAGATGCATTGGAGTGACTCCATTTACCTAGTAGGAATTTTGAAAATATATTAAAATTCTCGGCTGAGGAGAGGTTGGGTGTTGCGAACCAGTAGGAGAAGCTGCTCTTTGCAATGCCCGTATCTCACATTGGAGTGCTTATTCCAGGGCAGGATATTTGCTTATTATCCAGATTTCTGCTGATACATCCCCTGGGAGGCACCAGATGATGCCTCAAGTGCTTGGGGCCATGCCACCCACGTAGGAGACCTAGATGGGATTCTAGCCTTCACCCTGGCCCTGCCCTGCCTGTTTCCAGCATTTGGGATTGAGCTGGTAGATGGAAGATCCCTCCCTCTTCTCTCTGTTGCCGTGCCTTTCAAATAAAAAAGTAAATAAACATTAAAAAAAATTCTTGGACTATTTAAAAGGGTACTTCAAAAGTTTTATGGAAAATGGCATTAAAGGATCTTTATTTTGGTATAAAGATTTTGAAATTCATGGATATCATGGGTCTTCCAACAGTTTATGGAAAATGTCTGTTATGAAAAAAAACCCTGCATGGATTTCAAGATTTTCTTGCACCAAAATAAACTTACCATTTAATTCCACTTTTCCACAAATTTTTTGTAGAACCCTTGTATTTTTGGTTTTCTGTTTATTTATTGATTTTGCCAAACTTTTCATATCATGACATGGGTAGAATGTACTGGAAACTGTATCTAAATTTAGAAAGGTCCTAAAGGTGTTTTTGTTCTAGGATCTTCAGTTTGACAGATTTATTTTAGACAAGGTTTGGAGTTTGTCATTTTATTTGGCAAATATGCACTTGCTCACTGGTTTATAGGAAAATACAGTTAGTAGGATAAGTATACATTTCAGATTTTTAAGGTGCTTCTGCTTAATAATGGTTATACAAATGAGTTCCTAGTAGGTGTTTAGTTGCAGTAAAACCCCTCAACCTGTGAAGTTCATACAACTTTGTGATTTTTTTTCCTACCGTAATTTGACAATGCCATTACTAATGGTTATTTACAGAATTCATTAGTTCAGGGTGAGAGAACTGCTTGAAATCTGTTTTCCTAAGTAAACAATAGCTGTATAAATGAGCGTAAATGTACAATATACTATCTTTTCAATATAGTGGAATTATAAGGACATTTCTAAATTCTCACAAAGAAGACAATCTCCTAAGAAGCTGGGCAGGAAAAGGTAGAAAGTCTGTTGGTCTGTTTGGTATTGATTGTCACGTTATGCCGAGAAGCTATGCAGTGTTCCTTCAGAACTTGGGACCTGGGAGAACGCTGTCCTGACATGCTGCTGTTCTGTGTTGACCATCCAGAGAGACGGAGTGCTGGCCTACATTGGGAATTTTCGCCTGCTCGCGGAGCTTTCCAGCCCTTTTGTGAATCAGCGGTAGGTGACTGACATCATTGGTGATTTTTAAGTTGTGCCGTTTAGTTTCAGTTTGGGGAAGCTTCTGTCACCATGACACAGTTCAAGGAAAGGGAGCCTTGGAAAGGGCAGACTAACTTACCCCAGGTCCCAGGCTGGGCCTTGACAGTGCCAGCTCCCAGCCCGGCTCTCGCTGCCGCAGGAGATGCTGTGTGACACCTGGTGTCAGGGCATTCTTTCATCTTCCGAATGTGCACTGAATCTCAGAATTCTGGAGGCTTCTTGGAAAAGAACACACACTACTCTCTTTCATGCTGGGACCAGTTCGTATTTCTGACACTATCTTTCTCCTGTCCCCGAATCGTGATATCGACATTATCTTAGTCTTCCTCATTTAGAGAAAGCATCATGTTATTTCTATTTTTTTAAATTTAACAGACTACTTTTATTTCAAGTACACAGTATATAAGTAACTAAACTAAAACTACATAATATTGATTGCCAACACTGGGGGAATTTTTAAACCATCTTAAGCATTTTTAAGAATATAGTTCAGTAGTGTTAAGTGTGCTCTCATCGTTGTGCCTTAGATCTCTAGAATCATGTCATCTTGCGAAACTGAAACTCTTATATCCATTAAATACTAACTTCCCCTCCCCCAAACCTCAACAGTCACTTTTCCATTTTCTGATTTTAGGATTTTGAATATTTTAGATACTTCATATGAATGGAATCATACAGTATCTGACTTCTGGGGACTCACTTATTTCACATAGCGTAATGTCTTCAACATTTTGATTGCTTGTACCTCTTAGCTATTGTGAATCATGCTGCAGTGAACCTGGGTCTGCAAATTATCTGTTAAAGATTCTGGTTTGAATTCTTTTGGATATGTAGGGTACTTCCAATAGCTTCTGGAAAAATATATTTTAGAAAGTGTAAGAAATTATTTATTTATTATTTATTTATTTATTTGAGAGGCAGACAAATAGAGACAGCTCGCATCTGCTTGTTCACTTCCCAAATGCCTGCAGTGCCTGGGGTCAGGCTGAAGCGGGGTAGCTGGGAACTCAATCTGGGTTGTCCATGTGGATGACAAGGACCCAACTATTTGAACCATTACCTCACAGGATAAGAATTAGGAGGGAGCTGGAGTCAAGGGCTAGAGCTAGGAATAAAGTAGTAAGTTGTTCCTCGACAGTCAGGACAAGGGCTGATCAAGTCATTGTTTCTCATGGTGTCCATTTCACTTCAACAGGTTTCCTTTTAGGTGCTCAGTTAGTTGTCACTGATCAGGGAGAACATATGATATTTGTCCCTTTGGGACTGACTTATTTTAGCATGATGTTTTCTAGATTCCTCCATTTTGTTGCAAATGACCGGATTTCATTGTTTTTTACTGCTGTATAGTATTCTATAGAGTACATATCCCAAAATTTCTTTATCTATTCTTCCGTCGATGGGCATTTAGGTTGACTCCATGTCTCAGCTATTGTGAATTGTAAACATTAAGGTGCAGACAGCTCTTTTATTTGCTAATTTAATTTCCTTTGGGTAAATTCCAAGGAGTGGGATGGCTGGGTTGTATGGTAGGGTTATATTCAGGTTTCTGAGGAATCTCCAAGCTGACTTCCATAGTGGCTTTACCAGTTTGCATTCCCACCAACAGTGGGTTAGTGTTCCTTTTCCCCACATCCTCTCCAGCATCTATTGTTGGTAGATTTCTGTATGTAAGTCATTCTAACCGGGGTGAGGTGAAACCTCATTGTGGTTTTGATTTGCATTTCCCTGATTGCTAGTGATCCTGAACATTTTTTTATGTGTCTGTTGGCCATTTGGATTTCCTCTTTTGAAAAATGTCTATTTAAGCCCTTGGCCCATGTCTTAAGTGGGTTGTTTGTTTTGTTGTTGTGGAATTTCTTGATCTCTTTGTAGGTTCTGGTTATTAATCATTTATCAGTTCCATAATTTGCAAATATTTTTTTTTCCCATTCTGTTGGTTGCCTTTTCACTTTCTTGACTGTTTCTTTTGAAGTACAGAAACTTGTCAATTTGATGTAATCCCAAGTGTTAATTCTGGCTTTGACTGCCTGTGCCTCTGGGGTCTTTTCCAAGTAATCTTTGCTTGTGCCTATATCTTGCAGGGTTTCTCCGATGTTCTCTAATAATTTGATGGTGTTGGGTCATAGGTTTAGATCTTTAATTCATGTTGAGTGGATTTTTGAGTAAGGTGTAAGGTAAGGGTCTTGCCTCATGCTTCTGCATGTGGAAATCCAGTTTTTCCAGCACCATTTGTTGAATAGACTGTCCTTGCTCCAGGAATTGGTTTTAGATCCTTGATCAAATAGAAGCTGGCTGTAGATGTTTGGACTGATTTCTGGTGTGTCTATTCTGTTCCATTGGTCTATCCATCTGTATGTCTTGAAATCTGGTATTGTGATGCCTCCAGCTTTGTTTTTGTTGTACAAGATTGCTTTAGTTATTCAAGGTCTCCTGTGCCTCCATATGAATTTCAGCATCATTTTTTCCAGATCTGAGAAGAAGGTCTTTGGTATCTTGATTGGTATTGCATTGAATCTATAAATTGCTTTTGGGAGAACGGACATTTTGATGATATTGATTCTTCCAATCCATGAACATGGAAGATGTTTCCATTTTTTGGTATCCTCTTCTATTTCTTTCTTTAATACTTTGTAACTCTCATCATAGAGATCTTTAACATCCTTGGTTAAGTTTATTCCAAGGTATTTGATTGTTTTTGTAGCTATTGTGAATGGGATTGATCTTAGAAGTTCTTCCTCAGCCAAGGCATTGCCTGTGTATACAAAGGTTGTTGATTTTTGTGCATTGATTTTATATCCTGCTACTTTGCGAAACTCTTCTATGAGTTCCAATAGTCTCTTAGTAGAGTTCTTTGGGTCCCCTAAATAAAGAATCATATCATCTGCAAAGAGGGATAGTTTGAGTTCTTCCTTCCCAATTTGTATCCCTTTAATTTCTTTTTCTTGCCTAATGGCTCTGGCTAAAACTTCCAGTGGTGAGAGTGGGCATCACTGTCTGGTACCAGATCTCAGTGGAAATGCTTCCAACTTTTCCCCATTCAATAGGATGCTGGCCGTGGGTTTTTCATAAATTGCTTTGATTGTATTGAGGAATGTTCCTTCTATACCCAATTTGCTTAGAGTGTTCATCATGAAAGGGTGTTGTATTTTATCAAACACTTTCTCTGCATCTACTGAGATAATCATATGGTTTTTCTTATCAGTTTGTTAATGTGGTGTATCACATTGATTGTTTTGCGAACATTGAACCATCCCTGCGTACCAGGGATAAATCCCACTTGGTCTGGGTGGATGATCTTTCTGATGTGTTGTTGCATTCTATTGGCCAGAATTTTACTGAGGATTTTTGCATCTATGTTCTTCAGGCCCTATCTTTCTTACATTCTACCTGAGTGCCTTGTTTTCTTAGTCTTCTTGTTTACACTTTCTCTCTGGCTTTTGAAGGTCTCTGTGATATGCTTCACGTCTCCAGCCTTACATCTTTTGAATCATTAGAATCCATTTTGTGTCCTTTTGGCTCATGTACCTGTGAGTGGTTCTCACTTTTCTTCCTTTATTCATAGTTTGCATTGCCCAACCCTGTTTGAAAATTTTACCCACCTTCAAGTCTAGGTCAAAATCCAAGAGCCAGGCAAGGCTTTAGTGCTGAAATGTCCAGTTGGCCTCTGTATCCCTGGGTTCTGCATCTATAGATTCAAGCAACTGCAGATCAAAAATATTTGAGGTGCCAGTATTGTGGCATAGCAGGTAAAGCTGCCACCTGTGACACTGGCATCCCATATGGGCACTGGTTCAAGTTTTTCCTGGAGAAAGCAGTATTAGATGGCCCACGTCCTTGGGCCCCTGCATCCACGTGGGAGACCAGAAGGAAGCTCTTGGTTCCTGCCTTCAGACCAGAGACTGGCCCAGCTCCAGCCATTGCAGCCATTTAGGGAATGAACCAGAAGATGGAAGGTTCTCTCTTTTTCTCTCTCTCTCTCTCTTTCTTTCTGTAAACTCTGCCTTTCAAATACATCAATAAATCTTTAAAAAAAAATTGAAAAAAGTTTGCATTGGTACTGAATGTGCCACAGACTTTTCTTTGTCATTATTCCCTAAGCATATATCTTTTTTTGCTATTTAATCCATTATAATTAGGGACTTTTCATCTGCCATTTTTGCTTCTCCCTGGGGGAGTTCTTTAGCTATTTCCTATTTACTCACCTTGGTGTAATGAACTGTGTATGCATCTTGGAATGATGTTGAGATTCAACATCACTTCTTATTTGCTATGAACTTGAACAGGTTACTTAATATCCTTGTATTGTAGTTCCTATATATAAAAACATATTTTAAACATTAAATTACATTTAATTATTAAATTATTTGCTTCTTCATATTATAGTGTTTTTTCCTTTCAGGTGGATTACCAAATTCAACCTGTAATGCAACACATTTCCCTCTGCATTCTTTCATGCACCAAATTACCCAGCTGTCTGCTCCCACCTGGCAGTGCATAGACACATGGGAGTCATCACTGAGTATTCCTCACTCACCTACATTTGGTCTACACCAGTTCCTACTATATCACTTTCTATCTTTCTTACCTTTTGCCACCTCTTCTCCTCCACTGTCAGTGCCCTAGTTGATCATCTCTTGCCTGTAGCTCTGCACTGTCCAGTAGAGTAACCACAAGACACATACAGGTTGAGTAGTCCTTATCTCAAACACTTAGGACAAGAGGTGTTTCAGATTTTGGAACATTTACATGTAATGAGATACCTTGGGAATGGAGAACCCAAGTCTAAGTTTTGTTTTACATACATCTTATATACACAGCCTGAAGATAATTTTATATAATATTTTTAGGGGCCTGATTTTGACTGGGACCCATCATCTGAGGTTAGTTGTGGAATTTAACACTTGTGGCAAAATGTCATTGTTCAAAAAGTGTTGGATTTTGGAGCATTTTGTATTTTCAGGTTAGGGATGCTTAAGCTGTATGCCTGTTTACTTTGAAATTGCTTAAATAAAATTTTAAAAACAAAACATTTCAAATACTTCATAGCCCCATGTGACTAGTAGCTGTACTGAATTGGGTAACATGCTTATAGAGCATTTTCATTGTTGCAGAGAGTTCTTTGGACCATGCTACGTAGAGCAGGGTGGCAAACCATAACTTTGTGAGCCGAAGCTGCTGCCTGTTTTTGTAAATAAAGTTTTATTGGAGCACGGCCATGTTCTTTTGTTTACCATAACTGCACTCACTGGTCACCGTGACAGAGAACATATGACTTCCAAAGGCTGCTGCGTTATATTCACTACCTGGCTTATTATGGAAATGTTTACTGATCCTGCTCTGAACCATCTGCCTGCAGCCCTGTTCCCCTTTCTTCTCTCTTCTGTCTACTGTCTCCCACAATGAAGGTAATGTGCAGGTTGAATGCTCGGTGCCTCCTGCTGCTTACAGGATAAAACATGATCTCTTCAGTGTGACACAGAAAACTCTCCACGGAGAACTATCTTATCTCCTTCTGCCACACTGTTCCTTAAACTCTCATCTCATGCCAGCTTGTCCATTTGCTGGCAAGGCCTCCTGTTGTCTTACTCATTATTCAAGACTCAACCCATGGAACATTTTCATTAATAAATCCCATCTCTTTCCAGGTGTGTTGGCTGCACCTTACTTGTGCTTCCCAAAAACAATATATGGTTATTAGTTCTAAAACCATTTGAGGAAATACCTAGGAATATAGTTGCTGGATTTTTTATATGAATATGTTTAGCTTTATAGCTGCTAAAATATCTCCTTATGTGCTTGTGCCAGTTTTTAATTCCCCCTGGCAATGAATGAGTGTTCCCGTTACTCCACATCCTTGTCAGTAATTGTCATTGTCAGTGTTTTGGGTTCCAACCATTTCATAGGTGTATAGCACTATCTCATTTTAATTTTTCCGCATACGATACACAGTTTGTTGAAAAAATATTCTTTCTCCATTGTGCTACCTTTTTGCCTTTGTCAAAAATCAGTTGAATATATTGTGTAGGTCTATTTCTGAGCCTTCTGTTCCATTCCACTGACTTGTCTATTTTTCACCAAAATCATGCTGTCTTGATTTCTGTAGCTTCATAGTAAGCTCTGGAGATGGGAAGTGTGAGCTCCCCAAACTTTTTTTCATTATTGTGTTGACTGTTCTAGGCCCTTTGCCTCTCACTGTAAATCCCGAGAATGTTTACCAGGTTTTTTTTTTTTCAACTTTTATTTAATAAATATAAATTTCCAAAGTACAACTTTTAAATTATAGCAGCTTCCCCCCCCCCATAACCTCCCTCCCACCCGCAACCATCCCATCTCCCACTCCCTCTCCCATCCCATCCCATTCTTTTTTTTTTTTTTTTTTTTTTTTTTTTGACAGGCAGAGTTAGACAGTGAGAGAGAGACAGAGAGAAAGGTCTTCCTTCCACTGGTTCACTCTCCAAATGGCCACCATGGCCGGCACGCTGTGCCGATCCGAAGCCAGGGTCAGGTGCTTCCTCCTGGTCTCCCACACGGGTGTAGGGCCCAAGCATTTAGGCCATCCTCCACTGCCGTCCCAGGCCACAGCAGAGAGCTGGACTGGAAGAGGAGCAACCGAGACAGAATCTGGCGCCCCAACTGGGACTAGAATCCAGAGTGCCAGTGCCACAGGTGGAGGATTAGCCTAGTGAGCCGCTGCGCTGGCCTCCCATCCCATTCTTCATCAAGATTCATTTTCAATTATCTTTATATACAGATGATCAACTTAGTATATACTAAGTAAAGATTTCAACAGTTTGCACCCACAAAGACACACAAAGTATAGAGTACTGTTTGAGTGGTAGTTTTACCATTAATTCGCATAGTACAACACATTAAGGGCAGAGGTCCTACATGGGGAGCAGGTGCACAGTGACTCCCATTGTTGATTTAACATTTGACACTCTTATTTATGATGTCAGTAATCACCCGAGGCTCTTGTCATGAGCTGCCAAGGTTATGGAAGCCTCTTGAGTTCACCAACTCCAATCTTATTTAGGCAAGGTCATATTCAAAGTAGAAGTTCTCTCCTCCCTTCAGAGAAAGGTACCTCCTTCTTTGATGGCCTGTTCATTCCACTGGGATCTCACTCAGAGATCTTTCATTTAGGTCATTTTATCAGGTTTTAAAAACAGACAAGGCCGGCGCTGTGGCTCACTTGGTTAATCCTCCACCTGCAGCGCTGGCATCCCATATGGGTGCTGGGTTCTAGTCCCGGTTGCCCTTCTTCCAGTCCAGCTCTCTGCTGTGGCCCAGGAGGGCAGTGGAAGATGGCCCAAATCCTTGGGCCCCTTCACCCGCTTGGGAGACCAGGAGGAAGCACCTGGCTCCTGGCTTCGGATTGGCGTAGCTCCAGTCATAGCGGCCATTTGGAGAGTGAACCAGTGGAAGGAAGACCTTTCTCTCTGTCTCTCTCACTATCTATAACTCTACCTGTCAAAAACAAAACAAAACAAAACAAAACCGAACCAAGATGAAAATGTTTAATCCTCAGGCATGCAGAGTGAACATGATGTTTCTTTCGCTCTTTTTCAGGTGGTTCTTTGAGGTCCTGAAGTATCCTAAGTTTTCCAAAGCTAACGTCATCAATGGAATACTCATGACTCTGGTGTTCTTCTTCGTACGCATTGCCACGATACCACCTATGTATGGCTTCATGTATTCCGTGTATGGAACAGAACCCTACGAAAGACTTGGAGCATTAATACAGTTCACTTGGATCTCTACTTGTCTTGTTTTGGATGTGATGAATGTCATGTGGATGATCAAAATTTCAAAAGGCTGCATCAAAGTCATCTCTCTTATCAGACAAGAGAAAGCCAGAAATAATCTTCAGAATGGAAAACTCGACTAAAGGTGTGCTTTCTCGGGCACCTTTGTTTAGATAAGCAGTTCTTATTACTGCCCAGCCTTATCTCTGCTGATAGGATGAATTCTTGGCATGTTCTTAATGCTTCTTTATTAATATAAGTGTTATTCAGGGTTTCAGTGTCTTTTTTCTTTTTTACCTTTAGAAAAGAGAAACTAACATTTAGTTTTCATTCCAAGGTAATTTTTTTTTCTTTTCTCCTGTATTAGCATGGATAAAACCTTAAAGGTTTAAATAAAAATTATATAGTGGTGAAGCTTTTCAGAAATCTCTTAACCCATATTGGTATTTTTCTCTGTGGAAAGATAACTTGGTGTACTTGGTGTGTGTCACCAGTTTTCCTGAAAGAATGAGAATTTCTTTTAAATCTACAAATAGTTGTTAACATTTGCTTACTGCAGTCTTTTCTTACTCTGGCTGTCAACACCTATAGAGGGGTTAATTTTTAAATTGTTGACATGTCCTTTTCCTAGGCTATTTCAAGTGATACATTTTTTTTTTCATTTCAGATATGCAATCATCCATTAGTCATGAAGTATTTTACTTGGGAATATTTCATTAGTTTAGTCATGGAAAAAACTTTCTGTGTTCAAGATTTTTCAGATGTCATTTTCTTATTTATGTTTTTAGCTTCTTAAGAAATTATTGCATTTTTTTTCTTTTGTAAGGCTTAAGCCATCCATGGACCTCCTTAAAAGATGGATTTCTTCCTCTAAAAACGCATGCTGTTAGATGATGATGTAGGCTAACAGGAGGAATCATTAAGAAAAAAGCTTTAACACTGCTGTCCTTATACGCTTCCCTTGCACTCTTTCTATGAGAAGTATTTTGATTTGCAAAATCTCTCTTATGTTCAGATCTAACATCATCAGTATCAGAGTCTTATGAAGTACGTATTCATCATGCTCCTATGCCTCTTGGTGAGACCAAACTACAAAAAAGAAAAATCAGTGTTCATATTTTACTCAGAGTTTACACCCAATCTTGCTTGGCCTTTTGAGTACTTTGAATAACAGAAATAGGTAATCCAAGTATTCTTATCAAAATTATTGTCGGTATATGAAGGTAAATGGTAACTCTGGTTTGAGGTGTGTGTGTGTGTGTGTGTGTGCGTGTGTGTGTGTTTACTTTAGTTCCTGCAATCCAATAGATAACTATATATTAAGTTATTATCACCTTTATTTATTTTTCTCAAATACTTGACCTTATTGATTGTTCTTATCTAAGAAGAAAAGAAATTTAAATCGGTCACTGGTGAATACTTGAACCCAGACCAAAAGATCTGATCCATTGAGTTGCTCAGTCTGAAGGTGAGTGTTTGACTCATGTTCAGGGTTGGGTTGTGCTGTGGTGATGAAGGGAAGCTAGCCAAATCTGAGAGGACTTCAGAAGTTCACATAAACCCAATGAAAATATGTTCATTTTTGTGTAAACACTTTTGAAATCCAGTCATAGTTTTTTCATCCTCCACATTTTCCCCAAGTCTCTTGAAGCCCTCATGCATGAGGATGGCTTTGGATTTGATTTGATTGTCCAGTACAGATAGAGCCTATTAAGTTTTAGAACATTTAAAGATGGGAATTAAAATCTTAGTCAATAAATGGTAAAATGAGATTGATTGATTTGCCCTAGGTACATTTATTTTTGAAGGACTTCATTAAAGTAATGTAAAGTAGAGATATTTGTCTTGAAAGCAGATAGTGTTACATTGATAATTTGTTATTAAATTTAGTGTTGTCTCCATCAGAAGTACTTAAATACGTATTGGTTGTCTAGAGAGGGGAGGAAAGCAAGTTATTTTATCTTGTTCTTGCTCTTTTGCAAGAAAAAGGTGGATTTATAAAAAAAGGAAAACATTTATATTATAAAAGTATTTTGAAAATTCACTCCTTTAGAAAGAAATAAACCTTGAAATAAATATTTTTGACTCTTCAGATATTTCTATAGTTTTGGACACAGATTTTAAACCCACCATCAATGTTATGAAAATATACAGCTGTGATAATAGTGTCTTCATATAGCAGTTCCAGAAGTTGCTGTTTCATGTTTCAAAGTTCAGTTTGACTTTTATTGACATTACCTTTCATTGGCATAACTGCTCATTATCAAGTATATTTAGAACATCAGAGTTTTGAGCTAAGGTTTGTTATTCCCTAACTCAGCAATCCTTATGTTGGCTACATGACAGTTAATGCAACATCCAGATTTGTATCCAAAAGTAGGTTCTGTGTACTTCCTTATACAACAGACATGAAATGCAAACGCCAGCGTGACCTGCCATGCTTCTTGAAGTCAGATCTCTGAAGGAGCGACGCTTTGGTGTCTGTGATTGTCTCCTCCTAACTAAAATACAAATGAACACATGACATATCATTGTTAAATGATGCATTTTTCATTTATTAAATGACAAACTTTTTGCTAGACATTTTCGAGATTAAGTATTTTGACTACATGGATATTTAAATGATTCTATTAGGCATTCTGATACTTAGATCTATCAAAATATTTATAGAAAACAAAAGCAAATTGATATAAATTTTTAAGCAATTCTATTTTTGTACAAAAGATTAGTGACAACCTGTAATTATAAAAATGTTCTTTGAATGTGTAGTATTCTAGAAAAATAAAATTTCTTGGGAAATTTAAAAATTGAATGAAAACCAGGCATGCAAGATCACAGATCCTGCTTTAAATATTTTGGGAGAATTTAAAAATTATGGGCTTGAGCTTATAGAGTTTGCATTCTTGAGTAGGGAATCTCTTATAGGATGGTTTTCATTCACTTAAAACTCAAAAAGAGGTTATATGTGAGTACAAAGAAATTAATGCCTGCCTACTTTGTTTCGATACCTTATAGTAAGTTGGAATTAAGTTTTTATTCCTACTGTTTAATTTTGTTATTTCATGGATGAGCTCTATGTTACGAGATGTTATCATCCCTGAAGGACTCATATCTATCATAGATGGCCCAGTACAGTCTTACAGTTCTAGTTTTAGAAGCCGCCTAGTGTATAGGTGTTTGAATCAAATTCTCTTAAGTTCAGTGATCTGTTTGGCTGACATGTGTGCTCATGTGTCAGTTATTAAATTGTAGATTTTCTCTGAGGTGCGCAGGGCATCTGGAGGAAGATTCCCTGGTGTGAAGAACTGGCTGTACTGTTGGTGGCGTCATGTGTTATGCATTTGGAGAAGTGCAGGGGAAGATACTGTCGTACATGTTTCTTCTGTTGCGTCTTTCAGTAGACATGTTTCAAAAGATGCAATTAAAATAAATATTTGAACAAATTTCTGTTTCTAGGTTGCATTTGAATTGGCTTTCAGGGGTTTAGTCTGTTGGATGAAATTGCCATAATCCATATATTCCTTGACATATCCTCAAGCATACTTCATAACAGTTTATGAGTTTCTATGTGTTTTGGATTCCCTAAGAAACAAACTCGTGTAATTTTATCAGAAGAGTGGCCCTGTGTTTCTCAGCAGCTCCAGGCCAGCTCAGCAGTGAGACTCCTGTCCTCAGAGCTCCAGTGTGCACGCACCGCCCCAGCATAACCACAGCTGGCTGACAGCAGGCACACTTGGCTAACGCAAGTGAATTCTGATGCAAAACACATGTGAGGGGTGTAGGCGCCAGAAAAGCCTGCAGAACCTGGAGTTGGAGAAGACACGGAGACTGCTTTCCCCTTCAAAGCCATGATTGTCCTCCCTCGATCTCGAAATCTTCTTTCTGAATCCTTCCAGCCCTTCCATCTATCCCCTGATACCGCAGAGGCTTCATCAGCTCCGCCCCCCTCACTTTTGGCAAAACTTTTCTTTTGTGACAGCTTTTGAGACCTCCCATGCATCTGTAAGTTTTCTCATCTCTAGTGCAAAGTTGAAGTTTACAAACAGGTTCTCCCATTGGAAAAAAAGCAATGTAGTAAATTTATGTAGAGACGAGACCATAATTTATTAAGAGGCTACAGGAAGCCATTCAGGAAGCCATTTAATAATGCCCTTGCACAGCATGAAGCAAAGCTAATTATGATTTTATTAAGAAACATCTGTAACCTCTTTTTCTTAAACTGGTTTAGCAATAAGAGCTTTGTAATGTGTTTCAGCTGAGAATTTATTGTAGGCATCTACATTATGTAAACGTCCTTGGACACCTTGACCGTGGAGAGGAACTCTGGGGTGCTGGCTTGTGGCAGAGTTATTTGAGAGTCCTGATCTTTATAATAGAGCAAACTTGATTATGGTGACACTCTTTGGAAACCAGCTTACCAGCAAATGGATTACTTGGTGTTTTCCAAAGTACAACATCCAAAGACTTGACCCTCCACTTTTCTAGCCCAGACTTCAAACAACCTCTACTCACTTTGATGATAAAGAACACCTTTTTTGGAAGATATTTTGGATAGCAATGAAGAGTTGAAGGCAGCTGCTGAAGGCTGGCTTGTTTGCTTTGAAAATGTTTGCACTTGACTTTAAGCAGCAGCCGGTTTTAAGAGCAGATTCTGTACCCAAGACCAAAAACAATGAGAAATATTTCTAAATCTCGAAAGACTTACAAATACAATACCTCTGGCTGAAAACTCGTTAAACATCATCTGCATATTTTCTTTCTGTAATGAAGTGTACGTTATGGTTACTTACTACTCTTTAGTTAATGAGGCCTGAACATATAGATATAAATAAAAAGTACTATATATTTTCTGTTTCTTACTTGGTTTGTTTCTAGTATCATTATGTCTAATTTTTCCTAAGAAATTTTTTGTGTAGCTAATATTGGCTTGTAAGTAGGATAAGTTATAAGTTTCTTGGAATTAAAATGTGCAATAATGATATTAAACATAGATTTTATTTGAAAAATCTACTTGAAACCTGTAGTAAATGTGATAGTTATAGTGATATATACAGCTTTTTTTCTGAGGGTATATAACAATTGTCATAAAGAATTTTGGAAGTTTTTCAAAGTACACTTAACTTTTTGAGAACATACCTTCTAATTTATTTCTTTAAGTCAGCACAACTTTTATTTACATAGTGGAAGACTATATCATTTATAAATCAGTGTTACTGAAACTTATCAGTAATTTTGTAGCTGTTTAGTATTTATTTTGGTTTCTTATGTTTTATTTGGAAGGATAATGAATGTCTTGAGGCATTTTCATTAACATTTTCAAATGTTTGAATACTTTGTGTGACGTTTTAAAGCATATGCCAATTCTCAGCAATAATCCACATGTCATACCAGGTCGGCATATTTTGTCATGATAATTTAGTATTAATTTTTAAAATATAAGCATCCTATCAATCCATACCCCGCCCCCCCCCCCCCATGAAAACTGAAAGTTTCTTGTGCCAGAACACACTGTGTGGTACAAAACTTTGCATTTTGTGAAAAAAAGAATTAATAAAATCACAATGACCTAGTGCCCAAGTGTGCAAGGTGTGTACTTGCGTGACATGAACGAATAGATTGATGAGAGCGTTGCTTTCCTCAATCTTCCAGCAGCACCTGGATCCTAAAGGTAAGTATTCCTCAGGCTGCTTGCAGAGCTTGTTTATCCCCTTTCTCACCCTGAGGGCCCAGCCATATAGCAAACCAGGAGTTGGGAACATTTTAGTCATGCTTGCTAATGGAAGGAATGGTGCTGTCTGAACAATGGGCTCCTTTAGGTGAAGTAAAACTTTGGCAGTTAGGTTTCTGATCTCCTCCTCTTGGTGCCTGGGGCCTCTCATGTGGTCTCTAGTTTTCTGCCAAATGTCTTGGCTGGAATTCCCACCTTCTCAGATTGCCGTGGTCCTGAACTTGCATCTTGGTTGGAGAACATTCAGTGGGTCAGGAAGCACACACCAATTGCATTGAGTACGGAAGTGGTTTGGCCTCTGCAGAGTACCATGAGTCACGCTTCAGAACATGCCTAAAACGTTGTGGTGGAGGAACAGCTGAATTTCCAAATGAAAACAGCAGCCCCAGCTGTCAGGGGAGACAGGCCACAGGTGGAATAACGAGGATTCAGAACCACTTAAAGCAAGCGTAGACGAGGTCTGCCTTCCCACACGTCAGGCTATGTCAGACGTGACTCACTCCTTGTTTTCTAGTGTTTGCCAAGTCTACTGACTGCATCCCCTCCCTTTGGATGGTCCTCACACATGCACAAAATGAGTGATTTGGCCAACGTGCAACTTTTCCCCGTTCATAACAGATAATCTGACAGATGTTCCTGGTTGTGCCCCATGCTGAACTCTGTGAAGGGCTGTGCACAGCCCCTTCTGCCTGCAGAGCTGGGCTCACTGTCAGGTATGGCCGGGTGCTCTGAGGTCCTCCCTGCCGTTGCTGCGTAGCCCCTTCCTCTTCTGTCTTCCTCTCCCTGAGCTCCATTAACCACATCCAGTCTTGCCATCTTTCCAGATCATGGCTTATATTTCCAGCAGGAAATACCTGAGCAGAGCTTTCAAAGGGGACTCATAGGGAGAACTCAGGGTCATAGGGATGATGAGCTGTATTTCTGTTGAGGGTAAAGATCAAGGTTGGATAGAGATTTGGAAAGAGGGGCCGGGGGCCTGCGCTGTGGTGTAGTGGTTAAAGCCGCTGTCTGCAGTGCCAGCATCCCATATGGGAGCTGTTTCAAGTCCCAGCTGCTCCATTTCTAATCCAGCTCTCTGTTATGGCCTGGAAAAGCAGTAGAAGATGGCCCAAGTCCTTGGGCCCCTGCACCCAGAGGAAGCTCCTGGCTCCTGGCTTCGGATTGGTGCAGCTCCAGCCATTGCAGCCAACTGGGGAGTGAACCAGCAGATGGAAGATCGCTCTATCTCTCTGCCTCTCCTTCTCTCTATGTGTAACTCTGACTGTCAAATAAATAAATAAATAAATAAGGGTGTTGCAGGTAAAGCTGCTGCCAGCAGTGCCACCATCCCATAGGGGTTCTGGTTTGAGTCCCAGCTGCTCCACTTTGCATCCAGCTCTTTGCTAATGGCCTGGGAAAGTAGTGGAGAATGGGAGATGGTCCAAGTGTTTCAGCCCCTACACCCACTGGTGAGAGACCAGAGAAGAAGCTCCTGGCTCTTGGCTTTGGTCTGACCCAACCCTGGCTGTTGCAGCCATTTGGGGGAATGAACCAGCAGATGGGAGATCTCTCTCTCTGTCTCTCCCTCTCTCATGGTAACTCTGACTTTCAAATAAATAGATTAATTTAAAAATTAGGAAAGAATGACACAACAGGAAGGAGGAAAGGACTTCAGGAGTAGGAAAAAAGTGACAGGACGTCATGGATCAAAGTGAACACAATAGAATTCCCAAAGATGGTATCAGTGTAAAGGGTGTTATGAGTTTGCTATATTAAAATGAAATCTGAACATATTTGTGATACAAGGATACTTCAATAGCATCAAGGAAAATAGAATTGAAAGATAAGTTTATTTTGGTGAGTAAATATTGAAATATAGGCATAGTTTTTTTCCATAATACCCACTTCTGTGAACTTTTTGAAGATTGTACCCCCACTCCCATATGTGTCTTTGAACATGTATGTGTGTATGAACACGTATGTGTGTATGGACATATACATATGTACACACACTTAATCATTTGTAGCTGAGCAAGAGCATATTTTACCAGTGTTTTACCCACTGCCAAATCACTGTCTCCATTCCAAGGCCAGAAGGAGAAGGCTTGGTATTGTTATCTGTAAAATAATACTGGTGGTATCTGTGTCTCTGATGTTCCAACTCTCCCATCTTTTTTTTTTTTTTTAAGATTTATTTATTTATTTGAAAGGCAGAGTTACAGAGAGGCAGAGAGAGAGAGAGAGAGGTCTTCCATCCACTAGTTCACTCCCCAAATGGTTACAACAGCTGGAGCTGGGCTGATCCGAAACTGGGAGCCAAGAGCTTCTTATGGGTCTCCCACATGGATACAGGGTCCCAAGGACTTGGGCCATCTTCTACTGCTTTCTCAGGCCACAGCAGAGAGCTAGATCAGAAGTGGAGCAGCCGGGACTTGAACTGGCGTCCATGTGGGCTGCTGGCGCTGCAAGCAGTGGCTTTACCCGTTTTTCTAGAGCTCCAGCCCACAACTCTCCCATCCTATTAGAAAGCCTTTCCATTTGAAGCAAGACAGTTAGAAAGGAACAAGTGTACCTTTGGAGGTCTTGCCATATGATTTAAATGACATGTGAGGGAGAGTCTCAATGTCAAGTTAGATGAGTGAGAGTACAGATATCAGGGAAGCCTGATGCTGGCCAGGGACAAGGATGATAAATTAGTGGGCCAAGTCCTGTAAATATTGTGGAGAGAGCCAAGGGGATGGAGAAGACCTGAGCATGACTCAGGAATGAGGCTGTGGAGGTGCCGTCCATGTGTGGGGACAGAGGAGGTAGACAAGTTGGAAGAGCAGCATGCAGCCCACAGCAGGCTTCTGATGGAAAGGCACTGTGTAGAATCCAGTCTCGGAGGGAGAAAAGCTCCCCAAAAGTGCCAGCCTCTTGTGGTTTGGCTTGCTTTTCTGATTTCTGACCATGGCCTTGCCTTGACCCCTGGAGTATGTGTATCCCAAGATCCTGACGGTCACTGACCCATGCTTTCCTCACAACCCTTTTGGGTGCCCCACCCTGTTCCCGTGATGTGTGGCTGCCCATCGTGTCAGTCTGACCTGGCCAAGTCAAAGAGCATCAGAAGGTCCAGAGATCAAAGAGGCTCAACAATGAAGGCCCTTTCTGTGGCGTTCCAGCTGTGGGGCCAGGAGCTGCTGCTGTGGGCCAGGGAGACTCCATCTGGAGAGTCTAGGTGAGGTGGTCTTTAGCTGGTGAGGAAGTGGCCAAGGTCACTGACGAGCCAAGTGGAGTCTACAGTGACCTTGTCAGGTTTCTAGTTCTGGTTTATGAATTGTTGAGAGATGAAATAGATACTTTTTAAAAAATTAATGTACTTTTTTAAAAAAATCTTTTTGGGGCCAACACTGTAGTACAGTGGGTTAAAGCCCTGGTCTGCAGTGCCAGCAACCCATATGAATGCTGATTCGAGTCCCAGCTGCTCCACTTCTGATCCAGCTCTTTGCTATGGCCTGGGAAAGCAGTAGAAGATGGCCCAGGTCCTTGGGCCCCTACACCCACATAGGAAACCCAGAAGAAGCTCCTGGCTTCTGGCTTTGGATCAGCGAAGCTCTGGTCATTGTGGCCATCTGGGGAGTGAACCAGAGAATGGAAGACTCTTTCTCTCTCTCTCTCTCTCTCTCTCTCTCTGCCTCTACCTCTCTGTAACTTTGCCTTTCAAATAAATAAATCTTAAAAAAATTTCTTTTTGTTTGAAAGAGAGCGAGAGAAGGCACTACCATCTGCTAATTTCACTCCTGCAACAGCCAGGGGTGGGCCAGGCCAAAGCCAGGAGCCTGGAACTCAATCCAGGTCTCCTACATGGGTGACAAGAATCTGCATAATTGGGCCATTGCCTCTTGCCTCTTAGATTGTACATCATCGGGAGCTGGAATTGGAGGCTGAGCCAGGACTTGAACTCAAGAACTCTGATATTATATGTGAGCATTCCAGCCAGTGTGGTTAACTGCTGTGCAAAACACCCTCCATTACAGACACTCTGAATGTGCCCCTCTTGAACTACCAGCCAATCTGTTAACTGGTATCTCCAACATGCTGTCTCCCAACCCCATCACACATGCCATTGCTGTAGCACACATCTTTAATTTTTGTCACAGTCCTACTTGAAACTTCTACTACCACACTCCCAAGCCTGAATTCCTAAACAGAAATTTAAGGTTTTGAGAATGTAACGTGACCCTAGCTACTCAACCTCACGGTCCACCTGGAGGTTATTCCTGGAGGGCGCGACTGCTTATGACTTGCTCATCCAGCTCCAAGCACTTGAACTTGCTGTGCCCCAGCCTGCAGGCCTTTTCCTCTCTTACTGGTCTGTATCCGCTATCCTCAAGACCAAATATGAAGGGAAATTATTTTTTCCACTAAAAGCAGAAAAACATTCAGGTAGGGTGAACAGGAATAAAGTCATGAGATTCTTTTAACATTTCCTGGGGAGTTTCTTGTTTGTCAAGTGAGTTCTTGGGACAGCCAGGATAAATGAACTCATTCTTGATTGACACCTGCATTTTGCAACTTCCTGTGCTAAAGCTGCTGGTTTCTTTCGGCCTAGGGGCCAAAAATGTTAGTTCACCCACTCACACTGACTGGGGCAAGAAGTGGGAGTACAACCCTCCTCAGTCTTGAGCGCAGACTCTGATATTTGGAATAACATGGTGGAGAGATTTTCCAGCTGGGAGTCTGGAAGCCTGGATTCCAGTTCTGGCTTTACCACCCATGGATAACCATTTCAAGCAAGTGCTTTCACCTGGCCGGCATTTATTTTTTTCCTCTTCAATGTGAAGAGTTGAACTGGGCAAATTGAAGGCTGCCTTCTTTCTAAAACC